AGAGTCAGATTCCAAATCTTTTCTGTTTGCTGATGGCGTTTCGGAGGATGACCTGGATGAGCTGTCAGTAAACGACGTTTTGCGACTTGCAGTGTTTTCACTGCCGTCACTGCCAGGATCATCATTCATTAGAATTAATCTGAAAATCCAAGAAAAATTTCAGACTTCATGGCAAAATGAGATAGTAAATTAGGCTGAAACGCATCAGGCTGCCCCTGCGATCACGCGTTTTTGCACTACACCTGAAGCAACCAGGTCTTAACTGTATGAATGGTTCTTGCTTTACACTTTCCTTATGCGCTCACTAGCGTAAATCATTGTAAATTTTGCATAACGAGAAAGTGAACAAACTCAGTTTAACAGTCGGTTTTTGAAAGTGGACTATCTGACTAGCGAGCAATTCTCCTACCGGAAACTTTCACAGACCCATACGCCACGACCTCGCACATCCGAGGACTGAATTTGAAACCTTCACTGAATTTGAAATCCTGAGCTAGGAACATTCCCTAAAAATTCCAATCTCCCTGATTTTCTGGTTCCCAAGTTAGCGATTTTCCCACTAAAACTTTCGTCTGCTCGTACGCGAGTCCCAGACGTGTGTGAGGGTTGGTAACAGACTCCTGGAGCGGCACTTGGCCGAAAAACCCACTAGTAAAATTTCCGCGCCGAATCTTGCTGGTTGCCGAGTTGAAATACCCGGAACACACACACCCACATGCAAATACACAGACACGCATACGTACACACACAGGCAAACCACGGGTCACGATAAAATGCGTTCATGCATTACATATGCAAAAACGCATAAAAACCACCGGTATTCCCAGCTTTTCCCGAGATGCTCTGCAGAACCAGCACAGGTGATGGCGCCTATCCCACTTTTAGTAGTATTAGTCCATTTCTTTTTCTTTGCTATGAAAAATCCCCAGATCCGTTGGGCACTCAGTTTGCTTCTAATAAATATGAAATCTGGAATGCGTCCCTCCACCCCTCTAATCAGTGACGCGGCTGAATTGGCTTCATGCAAGCTGTCAAAGATGCAGTTATAAAATTTAGAAACTTATTTAATTTATAAATGTAAAACAAACAACAAAACAGAGTATGCAAGAATAATACGAGCAGAAAAAAAAAAAAGAAA